CTGCAAACTTTACAAGCTGTGCATACACAGAACTTCCCATCTATTTTGGCGCCTAGATGTCTAAGAAAAAAAAATGACTGCCAATCCTAAATTCTGTAGCCAGTCAAAACTACCAATTAACAAAAAAGAAGTAATGCAGACATTTTTTCTTCAAAAAAGAAGTAATACAGGACCTCAAAAGTCTCATTTCCCATGCATTCTCAGGAAACTATTAGTGGATGCACACCACTAAACGGAAGTATTTTTAAAAAAAAAATTTAAAAGGAAAAATGGAATCTAGGAACTAATGGATCCAACATGAACAGAAAGGTAAAAAGAGTTCCCAAAATGACTACTGTGAAAGATATGTCTGCAAACCAACTAGTACAAATTGGGTAAGAAGAATGAAAGGGCTCTACGCTCTAATAGGTCACTATCCTCTCCCCCAAAATAATAGATTACACAAAATTCCTGAAGGCAGGAAGAAGGGATTTGACTTTGGGTAGACAGTCTAGGGATAAATTACCAAAAGTTATAAAACTCAGGACTCAATTAAGTTTTTTCTATAAAGATCCAGCTATACTGCATTGGAGATGTAGCTCAGTAGAGGAACACTTGTGTAATGTGAACCAGGTCCTCCTGGCTTTGATTTCCAGCACCACAAAAAGGAAAAAAAAAAAAAGAAAAAGAAAAAAGAAAGAAAAGAAAAGAAATTCAGATTTATTTCAGGCTAATGATATTTTTGGCTTTGAAAGCTATCTGTCTCTGATGCAACTGTTCAATTTTGAGGTACTGTTTAGAGTACTTTTAAGGCAGTCTAGGGTAAGCTATTATATTCAGTAGCCTTTAGTGTATTGAACATTTCTGACTTGATATTTTCAAATTACAAGAGTTAACACTGTCATTAGTCAAGAAACATCTGTAATAAAATAGAATTATAATATACTGTAATAACTTAGATGGACATGTTCTCTCTAAAAATATCACTTGAAGGAAACACCTTATGGTTTCTTTTTGGCATATCTGAATTATCAACATTCTTGTACTTTATGCTCATTCTTGTACTTTATGCTTTAATAAAATAAGTTATTTGAACATAAGCATATGACAGTTTGCCAGGTGTGGCAGCCCACGTCTGTTATCACACCACTCAGGAGGCTGAGGCAAGAGGATCGCCGTAACTTTGAAGCCAGTATGAGCTACAAAGTGAGTTCAAGGCCAGACTGAACTACATAGAAGACTCTGTCTCAAAAAAACAAAACAAAACAAAAAAGACAGTTCACCTGCTAACCGAGATGGCTACTAAAGGACTAATAAGTGGGTGGTATTTATAGCATGGATATCCTGCACAATGGGATGATTCAGGTACAGTACATGGTGGGACAGAGCTGGACTATACAAATCATCAAACTACTAAGAAGGGCGTACAATATAAAACTTAAAAACTATTTCTGAGAGCCAGGTGTGGTGGTGCATGCCTGTAATCCCAGCACTCAGGAGGCTGAGGCAGGAGGATCTTTGCAAGCTCAAGGCCAGCCTGGGCTACAAAGTGAGTTCAAGGCCAGCTGAACTGCATAGAGAGGCCCTGTCTCAAAAAAACCAAAAAAAATTGTTTCTGGAATATTCCATTTAATATTTCCAGACCAACAGTAACTGAAACCACAGACAGCCGAAAGTGGGTAATGGAATACTATCCATGAAAGACATTGTTAATTGCCTACCCGATATTTAAACTCTCTTTTACTTGCCTACCTAACACTTACTGCTCTTTTCTTATTGATAAAAGTCTTACCTTGTTCAGAATGGTTATGTTTCATATAAGAGATACCTGCTCTTGTGCTGGGCACAGTGGTGTATTCCTATAATCTCAGCACCCTGGGAGGCTGAAGTAAGAGGATCATAAATTTAAGCCCAGCCTGAACAACTTAGTGAGATCCTGTCTCAAAATAAAAAAAGGGGTGGGGATATAGTACACTGCAAGGGCTCTGGTTTCAATCTCCAGCACCATATAAATAATGGATGAATGGATAGATGGATGACTGAGGCTGTAGTGCAGTGCAAAGGCCCTGGGCTCAATCCCTGGTACTGGGGAGTGGGGGAATTTTGTTTCTCCTAGTATGGTCAACAACACATCAAGTAAAGTTTCCAGAGAAAACAATCTCTCTGATGATCCAGGTGCCACACCTTCTTACTTCTCTTCCTTCTTCTTCCTGCCTGAAATCTACTGTGGGATGTTGAGGCTTGATACCCACAAAGGAGCCAGGCATGGTGGTACATGCCTATAAGGCCAGCACTTGGGAGGCTGAGGCAGGCTGAGGCAGGAGGATCTTTGCAGTCAGCCTGAGGTACATGGTGAGTTTAAGACCAGCCTGAACTGCATACTGAGACCCTGTCTCAAAAAGACACACACACACACAAAAAACCAATCCAACCCCACCCAAAAAAAACCCCACAAAGGTCTTGAAGATAAAACTAAAGGCTAAATATAGCAGATCAAAAACTCCAGGGAACCTGGAGTCCTTGACATTTACTATTTTGTCTTTTTTTTTTTTTTTTCTGTCATTTTGAGACAGGGTCTCGCTATGAAGTTCGGGCAGGCCTTGAGCTCACTTTGTAGCCCAGGCTGGTCTCGAACTTGCAGCAATCCTGCTGCCTCAGCCTTCTGAGTGCTGGGATTACGCCACTGGGTAATCAGTGCCAGTGGGTAATAACTGCTGGGTCAATAATGCCCAGACACACCAGTCTGAATTACCTACCTCCAGATTCCTCATTATTGAGAACATCAGTCCCTATGTAAGCCAGATAGGTTTTCCTATCATTCATAATGAATGCATTCCTTATTTATATATATTTTTTGATAATGATAAAAGTTTGTTAATTTTCAGAGAAAATAAATTAAAGAACTTTTATTTTTCCAGGCTTATCTAGTCTACTAAACTAAAACTAACAAAAAAACTTGGTAACACTCTAAGCAGACACACAATAAGGATGTGTATACATGACATGAAAGATGGCATCTCAACAATGATTACAATCACAACCAAATGTTTACTTCTCTCCTCTCATATCACTCAGAAAAAAACAATTTCCTCTAATTTTCTCCCATATTCCACCTTATTTTCCACTAGTTCACTTCAAAGCCTCGCTAATTTAACAATTGCTTGCGGCTAAATCTGACAGACTATGTCTTGTATTACTTAAGTCACAGGAAGCATAGTACCCTGAAGCTTTGATTGCATAAGAAGCACCGTGTCTATCTCCCATGCCCCTATCACCACTATTCTACCAATTAGTATCCTAAATTTGCCTAACTCAAACATCAAGAAAACTATACTCACCAAAAGTGTCATACATAGAAGAATACAAATTTACATACACACACACACACACACACACACACACATTGGGCGTGGTGGTGCACGCCTATAATCTAAGCACTTGGTGGAGGCTGAGACAGGAGGATTGTTGTGAGTTCAAGACCAGCCTGGGCTACAAAGTGAGCTCAAGGCCAGCCTGAACTGCACAGCAAGACCTTGTCTCAAAAAAGAGACAAAAAAAAACAACAAACAAAAAACAAATTTAAATTACTTTAATTAAAGCAAACTGAAAGAAGGAATAGCTAACCATGGGGGCGCACACCTAGAAACCCAGCTTCTGGGGAGGCTAAAGCAAAAGGACTGCAAGTTCAAGTTTGAGGCCAGCCTACACAACTTCAGCAACCCTGTCTCACAGTAAAATAAAAAGGATATAGCTGTAGCTTCATGACAGAGTGCTTGACAAGCATGTGTAAAGTCCTCAGCACCACCAGAAATAAAAAAGGAAAGACTAGACTGGGAAATAAGAAGGGTTAACTTAACCTAAACCATAACCACAGATCACTGTTTTAACAAGTGCTAATATTACAACCCAGACAAGGTGGCACATGTCAGTATCCCAGCACCTACTAGGCTAAAGCCAGATAATCACTGCAAGTTTGAAGTCAGTCTGGACCTACAGTGAGACACTGTCTCAAAGAAAAGTGTTACTATTACTTAATTTTGACACAGTATTGTGCCTATACCATATTTCCCCTAGTACTTCCATTTGTTAAGTCTCTACTCTCACCCTACATTTTATCACCACAAATCAAAATTTAGTCCATTGAATTAAAACACAGCCTATTCTTGTTGCAAGAAAATTCTTAAAATGTATACAAGGGAGAGTAAAGTAGCCAAAGAAAACAATATACTTGAGCTGGGCACTGATGTACACCTGTAGTCCTAGCTACTCAGAAGGCTAAAATGGAAAGATCAAGTGAATCTAGAAGGTTGATCAGACAGGGAAACATAGTGAGATACGAAAGAATGAAAGAAAGACACAGGAGAGAGAGAAAGAAACAATGAAGGAACAAATGAACAAATGAATGAGGTGTGGTATGTATGCCTATAATCCCAGTACTAGGCCAGGCGTGGTGGTGCACGCCTGTAATCCCAGCACTCAGGAGGCTGAGGCAGGAGGATCGTTGCAAGTCCTAGGCCAGCCTGGGTTACAAAGTGAGCTCAAGGTCAGCCTGAACTGCATAGGGAGACCCTGTCTCAAAAAGACCAAAAAGACCAAAAAAAAAAATCCCAGTCCTTTGGGAGCCCAAAGAATAGAACCAACTCCACAAGAACCTGCCTCAAAACATTTTTAAAGTATCAGTTGGAAGCTGGGCAAAATGGCATACACCTATAATCCTAGGACTATGGGAAGCAGAGGGAGAGCCCAACCTGGGCAATGGAGCAAGACTGTCTTAAGAAATAAAAAGCCCTGGGGATATAGCTCAGTATGAAGGCCCTGGGTTCAATCCCCAGTACTGAAAAAAGAAAGGGAGAGAGAGAAAAATGAGTAAGGCAGGGAGTGAGGGAAAAACAGTACTTATAGTGCTTTGCCAAAGTTAACCTCCTTAACATGTCTGTAAAATATTAGCTTTTCATCCCAATTTCTCTTATGAAGTCACAAAACTGAAAAACAATTATCAAGTAAGAGTTAAGATAGCTTACCTTTTATTTATAGGTTTTTCATCTTTTTCGTAAGGCTTCACAAACCACTTGCCAATACGTACAAAGTTTCGGTTCATTAAACATCGTTCTAACAGATTGTGAACTGCTTTGAATAGCAGAGTACGGCATTCATAGGAAAGTCCATTCTCCCACACTCCATCTTCCTCTTCTAAAAGAAAATTGAAGGAAGCAAAGAATAAACACTTTTAAATTCTACATCATAAACCCTACTTTACCTCAGAACATTAAGCTCCATCCCTTCAATATAGACAGAGTATCAGCTGTTACTCTGTAAAAAATTAAAGAACTAAGTAAGTGTCATGCATTTTATTAAACCACCTGGTAATTATTTTCCCACAGTGTAAAATACGGTAATGCTACCATAAACATACTGGCTTGATTTCTGTATTAACAAAAAGGGCACTTGCTTGTATAACCTAGAAAATATTAAACACACTCTTTATCTATGGTGCCAGTTTCTAAACTGGCTCACTTGTTACTTTGTCCTAATTCCTCTAATCATTCAACCTGCCAAAAAAACCTAGCCAGTTAATAACTATACTGAAAACATTTCATGTCCATCAGCATTCTAATCCACGACTCAACTATAAAACTAAGTGATGAGTAAGAAGGAAGCTACTGGCACAGAGCCTAACAAGCAATGTATTATCAGCCACCTCAGATCTCATATCAACCAAATGATTCCCATGATTATTATTCAGTATAGGATCCTCTACTTGGGAGAGAAATTTCAAGATTTATATATTAAATGGCACTTCGGTCATATTAAATTATAGTAATCACTATTAACTATACAGCCTCAATTTTGGCAGCAAATCTATTGATCACTGTTAACTTCCCAATAAATAAGTCATTTTGAGCTAAATCTGTACATAGTTCAAAAAAATGTTTTCGGGCCAGGGATATAGCTCAGTGGCACAAGCACCTTCCTGGCAAGCACAAGGTCCTGAGTTTGATTCCTTGCACTGGAAAAAAAATATATCAAATATATAATGAGTACCTAGAATAGACAAAAAAATGTTTTCACTCTATACATTTTATGTCTGTAACAAAACACCCAATGAATCCAGCTATGACAGTTGTTTCAGCACTTTAAATTTTTTCAGAATACTTTAAATTGCTTTTAAATGTAATTAAGCATCTTCCTTTAGCCTGTATACCTTTGTAAACATTTCCTAAAAATGAATCAACTTTGTATAACGAAGTAAAAATAAGTGACAAAACCTTTCTCATTTCAAACACGTATATATCAAATGGATAGAAAAATACATACACTATGAGATTTGAATAAAAGCAGGCATGTATTAAAAGAACACATGGTTTAAGCTGGGCATGGTGGTGCATGCATGTAATTCCAGCACCTGAGAGGCTGAAGTAGGATGATCAAGAGTTCAAGGCCAGCTTGGGTCACATACCAAGTTCCAAGGCAGGCTAGAGTACAAGGAGAGACCCTGTCTCAAAAAAACATTTAAAAAACAGTAACACATGCTTTATATCTAAAATTTATACAGTAAATGGGTAGAAAAAATCTTAACTAAAAAAAGCATTGAAGTGGACTTTTAACTGCCCTTAACCCTTTGTGCCACTACAAAGGTTAATACTGATTTTACGTTAAAATTCTAAAAATTTTATGATTAAAAAAACTATTTCAGGTTGGGCATGGTGGGGTACGCCTGTAATCCCAACACTTGGGAGGTTGAGGCAAGAGGATTGTTGTGAGTTCGGGCCAGACTGGGCTACATTAAGCGTGTTCAAGGCCAGCCTAAACTGCATAATGAAACCCTGTCTCAAACAGACAAAGAAAAAACCCATTTCAGTTAAATTTACAATTGTATGACTTAATACCGGGGATACAGCTCAGTGGCACAAGCGCCTGCCTGGCAAGTGCAAGGTCCTGAGTTCAATTCCCAATATCAAAAAAAAAAAAAGTACAACTATATGACTTAAGAATACTAAACGTGGGGCCGGGGATATAGGTCAGCAGCACAAGCACCTGCCTGGCAAGCACAACGTCCTGAGTTCCATTCCCGGTACCAAAAAAAAAAAAGAATACTAAATGTGGTTTAGAAAAGTAATCAAACTGGGCATGGTGGTGCATGCCTATAATCTCAGCACTTGGGAGGCTGAGGCAAGAGGACTGCAGCAAGTTGGAGACCAATGTGAGTTTGAGGCCAGCCTGGACTACACAGCAATACCCTGTCTCAAGAGGAGAGGGAGGGGAAGGAGAAGGGAAGAAGGAGGAGAAGGAGAAGGGGGAGGGGGAGGGAAGAAGAGAAAAGAAGAGAGAAGAAGAGAGAAGAGAAGAGGAAGAGGAAGGGAAGAGGAAGGGAAGAGGAAGGGAAGAGGAAGGGAAGAGGAAGGGAAGAGGAAGAGGAAGAGAAGAGGAAGAGAAGAGAAATTTTCAGGCACTTCTCCCTTATTACTCGAAGTTTTATCCAGTGAAACTCACATGAACTTGATGTTTTCAGGGGCAGTCTCAGGCCCCTGAATGCACACAATTATCATTAGCATCAAATAGGAGCTATACAGAAAACAAAGAAGTACAATCCACCTGAGTTTGGGGAAGGGGGTTAGTCCTGGGGACTAAAACCAGGGGCACTCTACCACTGACCTACATCCCCAGCCCTTTTTATTTTATTTTGAGACAGAATCTCATTAAATTCTCCCAGGCTGGCTGAACTTGTGATCCTCCTGACTCAGTCTCCCAGGGATTATAGCCGGTCATCACCTTGCTCAGCCCTGGTGGGGTTTTCTAAAGTCAGCAAATCTCTGAAGTACATCATCTATATGGCAAGTGAATAAACAACCACTAAAGTAATAGCATTTCATTTTTCATTGCTAGAGAAATAGTAAATCCTAGCTGGGCATGGTGGTGCATGCCTGTAATCCCAGCATTCAGGAGGCTGAGGCAGGAGGACTGCTGTGAGTCCAAGGCCAGCCTGGATTACAAAGTGAGGTCAGGGTCAGCCTGAAATACACAGACTGTCTCAAAGTCTTCAAACAAACAAACAAACAAAAAAGTAAATCCCAGCAATGCTCAATGAAAAGTCTAAAGGTTTTCTTTTATTTTCTTTTGTTTTGTTTGGGAGGGAAGTGTCACTTAGAAACAACTACTAAGCCAGGATTCTAAGAGCCTAATGTTATAATAATTGTAGCATAATTTACATGCTGTACTCAGAGATATGAAAAATAAAACGGTGCAACTAATCTACCTAAGATATAGTAATATGCACCTCTTATGTGAATTAAAAAGAGGTCTTTGAATCTCAACACCACTATTATAATTGGCAGGGGAAGGATTAGAGAACACAGAGCAAAATCTTTATCTAGTTGTTCTAAATTTAATAAAAGTCGAATGAGAAAAGTTGGCTTAGTGCACTTTTTTGCCCCCCTGCATCTATACCCCTAGAGAAAATAGTTTCAATTCTGTTTTTAGTATTTTAATGTTACTATGAGCATTAAAGCTCTTAAATCATCAGCTTTACATTATTTTAAAAATTTTATAAAGTATTTATTTGAAGAATGTAACACAAAAAAAGCTCAAATGCTAAATTTGATACCATACTTGTTTCAGAGCATAAATCAATGGTGCGGAAATGTGCCATAAATCATAAAAATAATTTCCCATAAATGAAAACACAAATCAAGATTAAAACCAAAAAGCTCATACACTCAGTATTCAACATTTTTCTCAAAAGTGGTAAGGATTGCCCTGAGTTAGAGGCCAGCATGTTCTACACAGTGAGTTCAAGGTCAGTCTGAACTATATAGGAGATTCTGTCTCCCTGCCCTCCCTTCAGAAAAGAAAAAACAGCCAGGCAAAGTGGTATACACCTGTAATCCCAGCACTCAGGAGGCTGAGGCAGGAGGACTGATGGGAGTTTGAGGCCAACCTGGGCTACACAGTGAGTTCAGGGCTAACCTGAAGTATAGAGCAAGACCCTGTCTCAAAAAACACAAGGCCAGACGTGCTGCCGCATGCCTATAATCCCAGCACTCGGGAGGCTGAGGCAGGAAGATCATTGTGAGTTCAAGACCAGCCTGGGATACAAAGTGAGCTCAAGTCCAGCCTGAGTTGCATAGCAAAACCCTGTCTCAAAAAGACAAAAAAAGAAAAAGAAAAAGAAAAAGAAAAAGAAAATACTACACATTTCCTAAAAGAAAAAAGAAAAATCCTTAACTATCTAGATCAGTGTTTGAACTGTGCAATAATTTCCTATTTATAAATCATTCATTCAATGAATATTAGGGCCTTAAATTGGTGGCATCACTCATTAATAGCAAAATCTGGAAATTTCTTATTTAGAAACAGCCTCATGTTATTATTATCTTTGATCTGAAAATCTACAAGATATATTTTCATACTCAAGGACTGTACAGGCCAGGCATGGTGGCATATGCCTACTTAGCAGGCTAAGGCAGGAAGATGCAAGTTTAAGGCCAGCCTGGGCAACTTTGCAAGACTGTCTCAAAAAAATAAAAAGGGCTGGAGCTGTAGTTCAATGGTAGAGCCCCCTCCTAGTATGAGAAAGGCCTGGGGTTCAATCCCCAGTACCAATGGGGATAAGATAGACAATATAAAGAATACAAAAAAATGAAGAAATGAAGCAATCTACAAGACTAGCCACCACAAAGAACTGGGCCATGAGTAGATCCTAAAACAGAAAATACAATTAACTCCTTTGATTACCTTGGGCTTTTTTTTTAGGGGGGGAGGGGGGTACTGGGGATTGAACTCAGAGCCTTCACCCTTCACACTGAGCTACATCCTCAGTCTTTTTTAACTTTTTATTTTGAGATGAAGTCTTGCTAAGTCACTAAAGTGCCCAGAATGGGCTTGAATTCCTTATCCTACTGCAGTGCTGGGATTACAGGCAATGTACCACCACGCCCAGCTACAAAACAATTGCCTTAGTTTTCTTGCCACTATATTTCTATGCATGTCAGCTATTTATTTGTCATTCCTAATAAAAACTGTTCCTAAAGGTTAAAAGTCACTATAATTTTTATTATTTATTTATTTAGCAGTACTAAGGGTTGGATCTAGGGCATTCACACTGAACTACATCCCTAGCCTTTTCTAAAATTTTGAGACAGGCTGTCTTTAAATTGTTAAATTGCCCAGGCTGGGCTTGGACTTGCAATCCTCTTGTCTCAGCCTACCAGAGTGCTGGGTTACAGGCAGGTACCATCAAGCCCAGCTAAACTCACTGTAACTAATATCCTTCAATAAATAAAGTCATCAAAAGTTAAATTTAGAACAGTGGCCAATTAATGTGGGCAGTATACATTATGAATTCTGGTGTAATAGAAATATTTGGGTATGTTGCTAAAATCCAATATAGAGACCTGAGGAGCCAGGCAAATGAGTATTTTTAGCACCAATTGAGTCTGTTTTTTAGTTCAAGGTCCATGTATCAGTTTTCTCTGAGAGTTTCATCACAGACTATGATTTTTTTTAAAGATGACAATGTTGGGAGAAGGAGTTTTTATTTTTAAGAGAACAAATAAAGCCAGTAATGACAGTAATAAAATTCCAAAAAAGTCAGCACACAATAAATACCCACAGAAAATACTTCTCCAAGGACATGCTAATTAAAAGTCATCTTGCTTTGAAGCAAACTAACACTACATTTAACCAATCAGTCCTACCTACAGAGACTTTTGACCAGAGGAACTGAGCTAATTTTCCCACCACCAATTATATCTGTCATCCACTATCACACACCACTTAACAAAGTTTGTTTAAATTTTAATTAAAAAAAGAAACTATACCCACAAAGTTTTGTTATTTAATCCTATTTTATCAAAACATATCAGTACGAATTCAAATACCCCATTCTCCTAGAGAGAGTAAAGTAAAAAGTAAAAAATCCTATTAAATATCTTCCTGGAATATTAGTTAGGCTAATACCAATTAGCATAAATTCTAAATCAAAAATCATCAAGCCTCTGCACAGTACTTTGCTAAACAGTTATTGACTACCACCACAAAAATAAGTAACTTAGGGTTTAAAGTATGTACTAAGTCAGATTTGGTATGCTGTAACTGATCTTTACCAATTAGCAATAGAATAAGTTTATATTCTATTTCCATACATCAGTGAAATTTGAAAGGAAGATGACCCAAACAAGTGCTAAGTGATATGAGAAGATGAAATTTAACATGCACTATGAAACCTAACTGGACTCTTCCTAACTGTCAAAATTATCAAAAAGGGGGGCTGGGGATTTAGCTCAGTGGCACAGCGCCTGCCTGGCAAGCGAGAGGTCATGAGTTTGATTCCCGGTACTAGAGAAAAAAAAAAAATTATCAAAAAGGAAAGTCTGAGAAACTGTCCAAGTCTAGAACAGTCTAAAGAGACATGACAACTAAATGTAATGTAGCAATCAACATGGGCTCCTAGGACAGTAAAAAGATGTTAATTAAAAAGAAAATCCAAATAAAGTGTGAGAAAGTGTGTGTGTATTTCATGTGTATTAGTTAACAGGAAAGTATCAACATTAGTTGTGGAAAATATGCCATTCTAAAATAGATGTTAACAACAAAGGAAACAAATTATATAGGAATTCCATACTAACTTTGTGACTTTTATGTAAACCTAAAACTATTCTAAAATAAAATTTACTTTTTAAAAATATACTATGGATGATACAAGGGTTAAATGAAGGCAATTCTGTATTTTTATTGTTTTAGCTAGAAAAACTGAGACTGCCAATCTTTGCAGAAAGGAATGTCTCCCTCGTCCAAAAAAGGACTGCAATATTATCATCATAATCACAAACATTTCAGTAACAAGACGTGGTAGGTGCTAAGTCAAACAGAAGGACACTGCCTGTGAAGAACAGGCTCAAGCTAAATTAACAAGCTTTTAGTTACCACCTGGGTCCTTCCGGTTTCCCTTTCCTTAGTGCTACACCTCTACTTGGAACTCAGGATTGCCCCTTGCAGCTGATGCCACCCCTACTGTCCAGCTGCTCTCTTCTCAGGGGAGTTTAAAAGAAGGGAATAGCGTGCCACAGATGGGAAAAAATGAAAAAGGGGTTAGCTAGAGAGACAGAAGCAGACTAATTACCCCAAAAGGGAGGCAGACGGTGTCCCTAGAGCAAAGAAAAGGGCAAGACAAATATACTCCATCTGATAAGACCTTATTATTTTTTAAGATATGTCTGATTTAAGAAAAAGCATTCTAAAGTAAATGACAGGTTAAATTTTTAAAAATTTTGAAAAGCTAGTACCAGTCACTACATAAACTAAAAGCAGCATTTTGGGACAGTAAATATGATCAGTAACTTTTTTTTTTACATAACTATCTTAGTTGTACTTCAGTATACTGTTAAAGTAATTTCCACTCTGATAAATTTTAAAGTTATTTACTATTCAACAGGATCCAGCAGAATCTGACAATTAAAACCTAACCTCCCTAAATTATTTTCAGCACATTCAGGAATCAGTATCTGTTTGAAAGTGAGTACTATCATTTTTTAAAATTACATTAAAAACCAAAGCTAACTAGAGAAGAAATCTTTAGAAACCATAACCCAGTTTCAGCAGAGAAAACATATCTGAGAACATGAAACCTAAAAGAAAACAATCCCAACACAATGTAATTTTTTAGCAACATACATCCAACAGCCCACATTTAATAGACTTTTAATTTTCAAAATTTAGTAGTACTTGTAAAACTAAATCTAGGAACACATATTCTTTTGTCCTTTTTTGAGGTGGGGGGTAACCGGGAATCAAACTTGGGACACTGTGCTTGCCAGGAGGCACTTGTGCCGCTAAGCTATATCCCCCGCCCATAACACTAAATCAAAAATTATCTAATTTCACAAAATTTCATGGCATCTTTTTTTAAAAATGGCTTATTCAGATGCTTTGCCAAATTTATTAAGACTAAGGCCCAGGAACCAGCATTACAGTTTTGCACATACACACGTATATACGTGTGTGTGTGTGTGTGTGTGTGTGTGGTGCTGGGGTTGAATGCAGGGTTTTGAGTATTCTAGGCAAGCATTCTACCCCTAAACTACATCTCGGGTAGGATTATAGCATTATTAACAATTGTTTCATCAAAAATTTCAATGTATCAATATCTTACAGATAGCCATATCAATTGTCTCCACAAGGTAGGCTGAAAATATAGCTGAATGGTACCATGCTTGCCTTGGATTCAATTCCTAGCACCACACAAAAAGTTTCCAAACATTTTACCAAAGTGTTTTCATGATCACTTCAAGATTAAAACAAACAGACTCAAGTTAGTGAAAGAAAAAGGAAGTTGGTAGCTTTAGCTTTTAGCATGACGAGTACAAAACACAATTTTGCTAAAACCACCAAGGAATTTTATACAACGTATATACATATATCACATATATATGTTTGTACATACATATACATACATTCTACATATTTATAACTATACACTATATAGTTAGAACTAAGGAATAGCCTCTCCCTGGAGATATCTTCTTGGGAAAGATGGAGAAGCTAGAAAGCTTTATTATAGAAGAATGACAACCACTTTCCAAAAAAAAAAAACAAAACACAAGTATGTATCTATTACAAAATAAGAGGAATTATCAAAACAAATATAGCACACACATAAATGTATGTGCTGATATTACTAAGTACCAGTTTAAGATACTGACACCTGGATTACATTTCATCCAAAAATAAAAGAGACCTATAGGTCAGACAGTAACAGAAACTTCAGAGTATTCAATTTCAAATGAGAATGCTTTTTTAAAAATGATCTAAAAGCCTATGTTTAACTCTCAGGAATCATTATCAAACTAACTTGCTGGAGTATCTGGTTCCCTGCAGCACACAACTAATCATTTACATTCCTATCATGTAAGATTCAGTCAAAACTCACTCAAGAGTTTAAAGTAAACACAAGCTTCAGCAATTACATGAACAGCTATACTTTCTCTTTCTAAAGTAGTATTTGGCTCTAAAAGTCAAGAAAATAAGATTTAAATAATCATACTGATTTGCTCACAATAAAATTACTTCTGTATAACCTTTTAGATTATGACCTTATATCCTATAAAAGCTTCAAATTGACACTTGTCTCAATCTTCGTCATAACAGTATCTAAGAAAGCACTTCCAAAAATAACAAAATTTTAACACATGTTAATAAAATAACAATCACAAACAACAACAGAATAATTACATACCTTGAAAAACACACAAGATAAAGTTACACTTCAGGATACTACTACAATGTCTGTATACTCATGGGAAAAGAAAGTGGCAGAACTGACTCAAAGGTGTTACATCTGGCTCCAAAAGTATTCTACAACTGTGTTCAAAACTTTATGCTCCACGATTTCATTTTTCTTAGGCTAATGTAACATGCCTTCCTTGGGCCCTAACTACCTGTGAGAAATTAAGAAAACTCCGTAATAATTATTACAAGCTTCAAAAGCCTCCCCCAACTCACATGGACAGTGTAAGTAAAATAAAATAGGCATGGTAAAACAAAACAAGAAGCTGTATTTCTACCTGGTTTCATACTAAACACACAAACACCTTAACTTATACACATGAGATGCTGGGTAAAGTACATACAATGTTGCTAAACCATTAGCAACATTAGTTAGAAATGATAAATTGCCTTCACCTGATAAGTCATGGTGAATAAGGTCAGCAAAATTGGGGTCTTCCCCCCACCAAAATATCCACAATTCTCTTCTTCCAGGTCTTTGATCTCGCCGCCAAACACTAAGTACATCTGCCTTAAGGCAGCGACTGAAACTGCTCAAAATAGGGTCTTCTTCTGTCACCGGAAACAGAATAGGGGCAGAAGTTGGGCCTTGCCATACATATCTTTTCCATTTAATTCCTGTCAAGTCAGCCTGAGGAAAAGAAACAAAACATGATTTTTTTATTATCACATATCCACGTGAGGTCAAAAGTGTTCACTACAAAGTCCCTGATTTCATTAAGACATTACAATTTTTCAGCGCACGCTTAAGATATGGAAAGCAGATTCTGACCTACCAAAATCCTTTAATTTTGGTAACTCAACAACCAAGAATTTAAGGAAAAAAACAGCTGAAAAATAAATACTAACATGTCACTGAATAGCACATCAATAGTATCTTAAGTAGTAATATACAAAAAGTTAAGTATAAACATGTACTTTAATATTACGCAGTGTGTCACATATTTCTTTTCTGTCCTCAATTCTACTCTATCTTGGTCACATTTGTTCCTTGGTGTCGAACACTGAACAGAAAATTAATGAAAAATCACCCGAATAATGCCAGAAAAAAATTCCCCGTTAATTCATCACACACACCCCTCTCTAGTAAAAGTCAAATACTGCAGCTGCTCCCAAAGAACTGTCAGATTTGTGCTCGTCCTCAGAGAACTGATCCTAAAAATACCAAAAAGAGAAGAGGTTGGAGAAGATAGAAATATTAAACTTGCTGTATGTCTCACTATATCCGAAGAGATGCTGGTTAGCGGACATTGTCAAAAAAAATTTCTAAGGGTAAAGTGCATTAATGATCTTCATGTAACAGCACGGAAAAAAGTCAACAAAAGAAATTCAGTAATTCTTTAACTTAAAGGTGGGAAGCGTAAGGTGCCAAAAAAGTGAAACTGCTGATACATGCCTGGCAGTTTACACTTCCTAACTAGTTATGCTCCGCCTACTTAATCCACTTACATTATCATATACTCTTTAATATTTCTCATAGCACAGGAATAAAATACAAAGAAAGTCGCTTCGACTTTAAATCACTGATGAAGCTAAGCTACTGTCCAACTCAGGACTAGATATTCGCAACAGTTGGTACTTCTGAAAGTCTGAACTGTTGGATATTACCAGATCTGGGGCAACAACCTACACGATTGTCACCCATACATTCGGCTTCCCTAGACTTTTCGCTTCAACAGAACAAGAAGCAGCCGGTTCAAAATCCTCTAAAGAAGCAAAGCAAAACAGACAAATATAGAAACTTTCAGTGCAAAACCACAGCACCTCCTCCATTAGTCCCTCCACTCTCACATAATGTTCTAATAAAAGCAAGATGGCTAGAAATTGTCAGAATGGCAAACTGTTTCTAAAACTTTAAAAAGAAAACATATGAAACGGCATCTACCGGTTTTCACAGAAAGATCTGAAGTCACCCAAAGGAGTGTGCGCGGGGGGGGGGGGGACCCTGCTAGTCTGACTCATACAAAAAATGGTAAACCGAAAAGAAGGTTTTAATGCCCAAGTTCCGGAGCCCTGTTTATCAGGCGCAACTGAACTGCTAGGGTAAGGGATAAAGACAGTGAATCGAGCAGGGGCAATAATAGAAAGTGTGAAGTTTACATCGGCCCAGGGGAAAAGCGAGAGTTAAGCAAAAACTCAGAGGGAAATGTTAGCGTCCTGCCAGATAAGAGCCCAAGTTGAAGACAAGAACTACGGCGAAGGGAAGAAAAAAAAAAAAA